AAGAAGAGAAGGACTTGCACATGGTGGCTGCTGCCACTTACCTGGAGGGGCAGGAAAGCCATTCCCATCCCCATCACCACCCCGTGTCAGCCGTACAGCTTCGAGTATGGATCCGCAGCAGCAGTCACAGCTGACACAGCCCTCCAGGTAAGCCACAGAGGCTGCCTGTGCCAGTGGTGACTGCCGGTGCCTACAAAACCTCCCGCTGCTGCTGCAGAGCTGTGCTCAGAGCTGTGCCGCTGGCAGCAGCGGCACAGCGTGGTGGTGGGGATGGCTGCATGCTGCCTGGCCACCATCACACTGCGGCTGCCACCTGGTGGCCAGCCACACAGCTCTGGGCACAGCTCTGGAGCGGCAGCGAGAGGTTTCTGCAGGCAGCGTCCGTCACTGCCCTCCAGGTAAGCGGCAGCAGCCACTGTGTGCGAGCCCCCCACAACCATCTTTCCCAGCCCTGCTCCACTTACCTGCCCCACTTACCTCGATGCTCCAGGGGCAAAGGGCAAGTTGGAGCCTGAGCCCAGCCTTGGCTGTCTCAGAGGCTCAGGCCCTGCCCTTCCCCCTTCTCCCTCCTCCTCTTGGTAGGGCTGAGGGTTTCCCACCCTTTCTGCAATGAGCTCTCGCAGACTGCAGCTGTGCCAGCCTCCAAGAGCTCTTTGCAAAAGCGGAGAATCCGTGGATTTCTCTGCTAAAAAGGGAAATCTGCGTTTTCTCCGATAAAAATATGGAATCCATGGTTTTCTCCATTTTTCCGTGGGAAACAGAAAACCCAGATCCCTGCTGATCTTGAAGTAAGATTCCCTTCCAGATGCCAAATGTGGCAACCAGTCTGATCTTCAGTGGAAGAGCAAGACTCTTTAGAGAGGAACCTCTGGGTTTTAAGTCCCATCAGAAGCATCAGCACACACCAGTCAAAATCCACAATCTTGGCTGCACAGTACACCCACTGCTTCTAAACCAGGCAAAAAAAAAACAACCCCCCTCGTCCCCCCCAACCATGATACCCATAGAGATAGCAGAGGGAACACTTCCTTCTCAGTCCCACATGGAAACTAGCAGAGCCCAGAAGCAAGGGCAGGATGGCAGGATAGGTGGGAGGCAAATGAGACACCCAATACTCTGTACTGCAACCCAGGGACTGCAAACAGCCAATGCATCAGACACAGTAACTGGAGAACCAGAATTCCCCTATCTATCATCCTACCCCTCTTTGTCCAGCTCCAAAATGTTTGTGGAGCTCTGCTTCATCCTCCTGCTGCTGAGCAGAATTTTCTCTAATTTCTATCTGCTCTGGGCTGCCGAGCTCTGATCTGAATGATGCACAGGGGAGTCTCTTCACAATGCACTCCAGGCACTTTTAGTCCCAGATCACCTTTGACCAATGCTTATCTATCCTCTTCTTTAAAAGTCTCCCATGAAGGAGATTTCACAGCTTCCTTAGGTAGGCAATTTATTCCACTGCCCCACTGTTCTAACAGGAAAAAAAACTTTTTTTCCCTCACAGCCAACCAAAACTCAAAATTGCAGCAATTCAAGTTATTGCAATGAAGTAAGAAAAGTATTCTCCCTCTTTATAACAGCACTCAAGATATTTGAAGACTATGTCTCCCACCTTAATCACCTTTGCTGCAAGTTAAAGATGCTTAGTTCTCTCAACCTTTCCTTGTATACCTTGTCTTCCAAACCATTTATCATTTTATTGCCCACCACCCTTCCTTCTACATATCCTTTTTAAAAATGTGGAGCCCAAAACTGTACATTCTAGGTGAGGCCTAACCAGTGCCAGACAGAGTAGCACTATCATCCTTCTTACACCCTATATTTCTGTTGCTGCAACACAAAGCCAAATTGCATTTTTTTGTAGTGCATGACATCCTGACTCTCACCAAGTCTGTAACCCAACAGGGCCAAAAAAACCTACTCTTTCCAGGGCTACCATCAAGACAGTTATCACCCATTCTGTATTTGTGCTTTTGATTATTCTTCCCTACATGTAGCATCTTGCATTTGTCAGTATTGAACTCCATCCTTTTGTTGTTCCTACTTTTGCCACAAATGTTTGTTTCTACGTCCATTAAATTTCATTCCAGTATGAAGAACGTCTACTGCCTAATTACTGGTTTACAGGCACAAAAGGCTGCCAATATTAAGATTTGTTCACAGACCTATATCAATTTATGAAGTACATTAAGAACTAAAATGGAATTTAAAAATTGTTTTGAGAGGTCAATGAGCATAGTGGACATTACTAAGTCCCCATCACCGACTTGGATAAAAGGGAATTAAAGGCAACTGGAGTCATACTATCCTACATCCCCACAGGTGAGGGCATGAAAGTCTAAGCAGTTGGCTCAAAAGTTGCTTGCATGAGACACATGCAGGGAGACACACACACAGAGAAAATTAAAGATACCACAGAAATAGAATTCTGTAGAATTCTGTCCCCATAACTATCACCATGCCAAGGAAGATTCTTATATCACCAGTGATAGACAAGCCTCCAAAGTTCAGCCTGTTTTTCATAACTAGCACAGGAAGCAGTTTTATAGCATCCAATATTTATTCATTAGTATTTTGTCTTACAGGTAACTACAAGCCTCAACTAGAAATTATAGTCAAATTATGCTATGGGCTGTTTGCAACCCCTGTTGAGGTGACCAAAAAAGTTGATGACATACTCTAACAATTATAAGTTATTTCCCCCTGAATTATATGTGAACTTTGTTCACTTGGCTTAGTCATCATCCAATTAAAAATTCCTTATCTACCTAGCTTTAAGTTACAAGACTCAACATTAGTTGGCTACCACAGTCTTAGGACAATAGACCTGGTGGGGAGAACTAGTCAACACCATTAACTGAAAAGAAATAAAAGTATAGTAATTAAACATTTTTCAAAGTTTAAGTAAATGTTATGTACAAATTAAGATAAGTTTAAAGAAACCTAATTACCACAAGTATTTTTCTTTGTACTTTGGGCAGGTATTCAAAACTTTACTTATGGAGAAAAAAAAAAAAAAATCACATCATGCTCAAGCTTACTGCAAGGACAAAATAATTTTTCTGAAGCTTTGCTCACAATACCAACCAATTTAAATAAAAGTAAATGGTTTAAGAAATTTGGCACTTATGGCAATAACCTTTGACGAGATTAATTTTGACAGAACAAGCCATCAACTTTCCATATAAAAGGTTAATTAATTAAAAAGCCCCATGCATAAGGCATATCTTAACAAATTTAAATTAAACTATTAGCAACTGTACATAATTACTAAGTTTTACAAGCCATAAACAGGGTCTTTTGTCACTAATTCACCTAAACCTTCAACAGAGCAATTGTGACAAAAGGTAACTATTTTTCCTTTATAGCCAATTGTATGCAATAATTCTGTTGGTTTTAACGTTTCTAAAAAAAACCCAAAATGACACACACAAGATCGTTTAGCTCTGACTTTTAAAAGGTTTCACTACTGGCTACTGGCTTGGACTACCGAGTTGATTCCAATGCAGACTACCACAGGAGCATTGGAAGGGCTTGAATAACCAGGGCAGCGAGACCCAGAAATAAGCACCCCCCATTCTTCTCTACAGGATACTAAAAAGGTAGTTAGGGTACTCAAACAGCCTCAGCTTTCCAACGTAGCCTGTGATAAACAGAGGAATAAGACAGCACAAACATGTCTACAAATGAATTCTATGCAAATGTTATGCCACAGACCTCTAAATACCTCAAGCGTCACTGTATCATTGACAGAGTTAAGGACATTTGGGTACCTTAGTTGGGCTCTTGCCTAGCAAAAGTTTCTTTGATTTCTTTTGAGCAACACTGCGCTGTAGACAGAACCTGACTTGCATTCACACAACCTGGAGGCTAGTCTCAGCTCAGCTGCTGGCTAACCACTTTGCCTTGGCCTCCCCTTCTGCGACACAGGGAGAAACGCACACAGAGGACCTGGAGAAGAGCTTCCCTATCCTGACATACACACACAGCAGGTAAGGCGAAAGAGACGTGCCATGATGTGGAGCCACAGTGCTTAATGTCTGAGTTTAGAGGGTTTTTTGCATCGGGACGAGGGCAGCAGCCACTTCACAGCTGTGCCCCGGACCAGAGGGGCAGGATCCAGTCCCCACCTGAGCTTGTTTCTCCGGGCACCCCGCGTCTGTACCCGGCCCCTCAAAGCCGGACCGCGGCTCTCCGCGCTTCTCCCTCAGCCCCCGCCGGCTCGGGCGGGAACGCCCTTCCAGCGGGGTGGCGCGGCGCTGGCGGCTGGGGGTGCTGCCGCCCCGGCCGGGAAGGAAGCGCGGATCTCCCGCTGCAGCAACGGGGGAACCCGGCCCACAGGCGCAGCAGATCCAACGGCAGCGGCGCGGAGTGGCGGGGCGGGACGAGGCCGCACTCACCTTCTCGCAGAGGCTGCGGACCTGGCTCTCGCTCAACTGCTTGCACTCATTGAGCTGCTCGATCCACTGGTCCAGCTCCTTGGCGAAGCCCTTCT